AATTCTGTGTCATTACTGAGGAATAACGAAGTCTCTGGTGCACTGCACTCTAAGATTAAGAGAAAATGGACTCGGGCATCCCGAAGGGAGAGAAAACGGACTTCCACGACGGGAGACTCGAGCACTAACACGTGCCACTCATACCGAGAGACTTGACAAGTTTTACCGACCATTAGTTATGTACGTTATCTAGTGAATTTAGTCAATATTGTACAGTATAAGTATACTGCAATTACAGCGGTCCCTCGGTTAACAATGGACCCGAGTGCAAACCCTTACTGTACGTGTACTAAACGATTACGGTACTTAAATTGTTATGTCTATGGCAAATATAGATTGTTTACACAGATATTCAAATACTATCTTACAAGTTATATTCACCCAGGTCGTTTGGGTGGCAAATTATGAGAAGAGCTTAGTCACTCTTAAGTAATGATAAATAAACACTCGGGCCTTCAGCGCCAACTGTCAAATCTTATCTCAAATAAATAAAGACATTGTCACCTCACTTCCCCCCCCTGCTCGCTGGCTACCTCCCTCCTTGTGTTCCCAGACAAAACATTGGTGATAACTTTATGCTTTAAGGTGTTTATTTTATATAATATCTCAGACTAAAGTTAGGGGATTACAATTTGCATAGCTGGAATCCTTGCAAGACAGCCAATAATTTGAATATAAACATTATATATACTGTATTTTGTTGAAGATATAAAAATTGTAGTACATTTTATAATATAAAGTTTTTCAACTGTATTTTTGGGTAGATTTATATCAATTTCTTCATTTATTTTCATCCATTTACATGCACACACCACAATAAAAGAAACGTAAAAGAAATAAACGACCTCGGTGCAAAGCCGGAGCATTGTTGTACTAATTTGATTACGGTACAAAAATTTTTATGTCCGGTGCAAATTACAGCATGTTTATATTCAAATTAATCAGTATGTTACAAGAATCCCAGCAATGTTAATTATATTGTACCAGGTCATTTCACTGGCATTTTAAAATGAGAGAAGCTTAGTAGGACTGTTAAATAAACTCACAGAGACCTTCGGCTCAAACTGTCAAACATCTCCTCTTAACTCTCTCCCCCATCTGTTGAGCCAGGGTTTTAGGCTTACAGTTTTTATCTTACATAATATTTCAGACTAAAGTTAGGAGATTATAATTTGCATTGCTGGAATCCTTGCAAGACAGCCAATAATTTGAATGTTAACGTCATATATTTTGCTCGAGAGATAAAAATTGTTGTACGTTAGTGTACAGTACTGTAGTACATTTTATAATATAAAGTTTTTGAACTGTATTTTTGGGTAGATTTACATCAATTTCTTCATTTATTTTCATCCATTTACATGCACACAGCATACTAAAAGAAATAATTGACCTTAGTGCAAAGCTGGAGTTTTGTTGTACTAATTTGATTTGGGTACTAAAATTGTTATGTCTAGTGGAAATTATAGCATGTTTATATACAAATTAATCAGTATGTTACAAGAATCCCAAGAATGTTAATTATATTCACCCGGGTCATTTTCCGGCCGGGAAAAAATGCGCCACAGACCCGGGCGCCAACCGTCGGTGTCGCCGGGCTTTATCTTAAGTAATATCACAGACAAAAGTTAGAATTTAATTTGCATTGCTAAAATCGTTACAAGACGGCTAATAATTTTAACATAAACGTTGTATATTTTGCACAAGAGATAAAAATTTGTAGCCCTTTACAACTAAAATTTGTATGTGAACTGTAGCATGTTTATATTCAAAGTAATCACAATTTTCTAAGAATTCCAGCAATGTTAATTATATTCTTCCAAGTCAGTTTAGTGATATTTCATAAGAGAAAAACTGAAAGTCACTGTTAAGGACAGATAAATAAATAAGCTCTAGACCTTGGCATCAACTGTCAAACCGATAACCCTCCTCCCCATCTTGCCGCGAATCCGATCACGAGTAAACGGGCCATTTCGCGTCTCATAATTTTAGCCGCGTCGATTTACGAGCGTCCGTTTTAACGCGATACTACAAAAACGATGTTTTGTAGGAGATGGGCCGAGGTGCATTTGGGTATATTGGGTCTTTTTAGTATTTTGTGTTAGTCTCGAGTACCAAAGTAAATTGTTCCATTGAAACCACTTTAATTGAGTCCAAATTTGGTTTAAAGCTATTAGCTCTCTAGGAATGCGCCTCGCGTCACATCGACGTCGTACCGTACGTGCGTCGGTCACCGACGCGTACGCGGGACCGGTAACAATTTTACGTAAACGCGTCGACGACGTAATATTCGACAATGCCGTCGGGTCGTCGACGTCCCGTTTCTTCGTTTAGTAAATAGTCGTGGCGATTTTTGTCGCGCGCGTGTCCGTCGACGGGCACGCCGAGGGCGGTCCGTCCCGACCGCTCTCTCGCGTCCGTCCGCTCGAGATTCGGCCCGTATTGCGCAGTCGTACGGTCCGTCGTCGTTTGCGAGAAGTACTCGTTTACGTAGTCTCGCGTGCAGTATATTGCATTTTCTAGCAATAGACTAGTTACGATCGTAGATTAGTTCCATCACGTAGGGTATCGTCTCGCCGTCGGCCCGGGACACACCTCCGGCCACTCGACACTCTGCTTACCGGTACACGACACAAATTAAAAATTATCAACACGATATTTTACGAGGGCATTATGATTGATTTATAATACCCTATGCAATGGTTGTATAGATGTAGTGCAGTATAATTATTAAATGCAGGCAGCATTCACATCACAAACTTAACCCACAGAAGAAGTCGCCTCGGGCAACGGCAGCAGTCGGCAGCGGAAGCGCGATCCGGGAGACGGACACGAAGAACGACCGTAGATCGTCGCTCCGTCACCGCTCCGGAGACGGGTCGGCGAGTGCCGCTCTCCGACGCGAGACGATCGTCGAGAATAACCTACGTGTTTTTCTATTTTTATGGATGCTATTTTAAGGATAACTAAAGCTCAGTCAATGGTTATTTTAGCTTAAGGTCATATTATACGTGTATTTGTAATGTACAGTATTTCATTAAGTAAGAATGGTAAAACTTGCCCGACGGTCGACCCCCAAAACAACTGCGGCGACCCGCTCCGGCACTCGAGAAGACGGAAGCTCCGAGTACACGACGTTAAAGATTAACGGATAGTTTGACGACTATACCACCCCTTCATCCACATAGCACCCTTTCTTCCCTCCACATATGACCCCTCTTCCATTCATCTACCACCCCTTCTTCCCTCCGCCTACCATCGCTTCCTCCCTCCACCTACCACCCTTTGTTCCCTCTACCTACCATCGCTTCCTCCCTCCATCTACCTCCAGCTAAATCTATCCCTCCCTCCACTTACCACTCTTCCTTTCCTCATCTATTATCTTTCCCTTCCACCCCTCTATCCCACCATCTGTCCCCCCTCCCTTTCTTCACGTACCACTCTTCCTTTCCTTATCTATTATCCTTCCCTTCCACCCCTGTATCCCTTCCCTCCACATACCACCTTTCTCTCCTACCACCTGTCGTTCTTTTTTTGTGTTTTATTTAATAAGTTTTATAGTATATGATGGTCACCTTATTAATAATGTAACATTTTGTGTGATTACAATTACACTACACACACTTAGTCGAAGTGACCAGTTATTAGTGTTGATATTAATGGGATAAATATTAGATAAGTTTATTGGAGTTTGCTATAAAATATGTGACTATAATTATAAATTGTGAGTGTGAAGAAGGGTTTATAAGTTGTATATATGTCAATTAGAGGAACAAATAATTTGCTAACCACACCCTAGTCCTTCAATGGAAATCGCATCGAAATGCGCAGGGTCGAGAATCGGCGAACGCATTCGGCGGGAGAATGATGCGGCGACACGCGTAGAATACTCGTACGCCACTCTCGGGCACGTACGTTTCCATTTACTGAAGTTAGGTGGGTTTGTTTGGGTGGCGTGGGACCCAGAGGGCATCGGCAGGCGGTCGCGTCCGGCGGTTGCCGTGCGAGAAATTGGGAGGACGGGCTTTCACGTTGCAGAAATTAAGGAACGGCATCTTCCGGCGGAACCACAGCCCGCGATTAAAGGAACGCTCGGGTTTGACGCCCACGGACCGAGCGCGCGGCTCCTCCGCCGTACATTTCGTCGTCGGTAACAAGAGTAGTCGATTGAAGTCCCCTCCTTTGCCTGGGTGGATGTGTCTGTGCTAACCGTTTTAGGCAAGTGAATGTTTGGTACAGCAGATTTGGGGATTCATTGTAGGGTAGACTTGCCATACAGTGCAGTGTTTTAATTGGTATTATATTGCGGCGATCGGCGAGCACGGAGACCGAAGCCTCACTCGACCGTGTCTCGGGAGGCGTGGGGTTTGGTCCGAGGCCACTCGAAGTCATCGTCGAGGGTATAGTCCGGAACGCCGTTCGACGTAACGTCTCGTCGAAATTCCGGAGCGGTCTTCTCGTCGCGGGGCGCGCCGGAGGTCGACGCTACGACGTTCCCGGAAGGGTCGTCGTCGGGTATTTGACGTGCATCCGGAGTAGAACGAGGGCACGCGTTGAATCGGCGAACCGTCGAAAGTGTGCAAGAAATGAGATCGCGTAAATAACGGCAGATTAATTTCGTCGACACTCGTACGTATAAAAGTGCAAAATAAATAAATAATACGTATTTTTTTTATGGGAATTAGCCCACCCGGGCACGGGTCACCGACCCACATCGGGGCGAAAATGTAATAATAATAATTGTTGAAGTTACAGTGTTCATTTTTGGTGGATATCAACGAAATATGATGCGAGAGGCTCAGAAAACGACACAAACGACGACGCTCTCTCCGGTATATTTTCTGGACCGTCCGTAAAAACGAAACCAAAACACGCGTGCGCATTCAAAGTGGCGCATTATTCCACAAGTAAAATAAAACATATTGACATAAATATGGGGTAACCTAGTTTATATGTAACAATAATACTGAAGAACCTTAAAGAAATACAAAATGGAAAAAAAAATCAAAAGTGAGGAACAATATATTTATGTTGTGTTGTCAATAGTAAGAGAAACAATCGAGACCCTGCAATCGCGTGTTAACGAGGCAGAAAGTCAGACGAGCGACCTGGGACTCGGTCACAATTTTAGGGATGCCACGTAGCAGGAAGATCTACCACGGACGACACATTACGCTTCCAATATTGTCCGCGGAGGTGGTATCTACCCGTTTGGTTGCTGCCTAAGTATGTAAGATTTTCCAATGGAAAGTGTATGTTTGGCAAATGTATCCAGGTCTTTAGAGAATGTACTCAGATATTTGGGTTAGTTGTCAAGGGTTCATGTATAATTTGCATGCCTAATTGACTATGTATATTTTTTAACCTTAATTTTTCATTTGCAGTCACCCGACGGGAGTCAGAAACGTCATTTTTGTGCGGACCGGCGACTCGACGGACCCCGGGCGAGGATGCCGCTCGAACCGCGGGTAAGAATCTCGGACGACGCCGTATTGTAATGTTTATATCGCAGTGTACGGTATTTACTTAATGGTTCTTTGAATAATAGGAATGCGCATGTGGCATGCCTCGGCGTCTCCGTAGGAATTGCGTAGAGTAAGTGGAAGGTTTTTAAGGGAGACGAGAATTTATTAAGCGGCGCGTCGTCGACGAAATATCGAAGGAAGTTTTGACCGGTCACCGAGAGGAAATAATACAGGAATTTACGAGTAAAAGAGTAGAACGTAAAGATAACGAGGGAGAAATGAAAATGCGACCGACGATGAGACTCGGGTGCCATCGAAAATGCGTAGAGGGAAGAGGGACGGACATTACAAGTGTTATAAGGAGAGTACTTAATTTAGCATAGAGATATAGAATTGAAGGTGTCATATCTGGTCTAAAAGTGTTGGATACAATATGAAAAGTATGATTAAAAAATGGGAGTTTAACCCATAAGCCAAGGGTTAGGGTGCTGCTGGCACTTCCCCCTCCCTTCCTATTGGGATAAATCGAGAAACAAGATGAATTCTCCCCACCCCCTCCTCCACAAAGGGGAGACCAGATGGACGTTGTGGAACGTCACCTGGGTGTAAGGGTTAAGAATGTAGTAGCTTGTAATGGAGGATGAGGTATATGTATTTATGTCCTATGTTTTATACTGTATTGCAAGTAGGCGTTATTGTATGCACATTGCGGGTCATAATAGGAACGGGGCACGCCGGAGGCCGGTACACGGGACGATCCCCGAGAACAGAAGCCGAAAGTTCGTGGCGTGGGTATATCAACTTCCCTTAAAAGTGTAATTAGGGATCCTCCTCAGACACATTGCACCATTTGAACGCAGACGAAAGATTATCCTCATCGCCGTACACGTCCCGAGGAGACGAGGCGTATCGAGTTTACGCGGATGCATACGAGATATTTCCTTTCGAGTACAGGTAGTTCTGCTATAACGCGATAGCTGTGTTCTTGTAAAACATCGTGTTATAGAAATTCGTGTAATAGAAATGACAGGGCTTATGGAGAAAATAGGGTTAGGTGCAGATTACTCCAAATCGAAAAAAATTTCGTAGTAGAGTCTAAATAAATGTTACATTCATATCTAATATTGAAATCATACAGTAAATGTTACACTTTACCTTGAAAAAATATGAATATAACTTGATGGGGGAGAAGATTGATGTTGAGGAGTCATGAAACATCAAGCTTTTCTTCAAGCGTTATAGCCTCTCTTTTACGATCACCACCGGAAATGCGATCACCAGAGTGCTTCCCAGAGATATTCTTCTTTTCCATAGTCACAAAATTGGAGAAACAGTAATCAGAAATCTCCGAGGACACTTAAAAATTTCACACGTGTTTCAAACAAAGTGTGGAGTAAACAGAGCGCGCGGGTCTAAAACGCTATGTATTTTGTTTTTCTCTTATTTAAAATTTTACATTTTACATATACTGTAGAGGTATACTGTATACATAAATATTACATAAATTATTTCTGCAATTCTTCACAAACAAAACACATAAATCAATTGAATGTGCGATGTGGAACGTGAACTGTAAACACTGCATAACCCTGCGCCAAGCCACAATGTACAGTACACTTTAAACGCTACTTATTTTGTTTTTCTCTTTTTTTTAAATTTTTACAATTTACATATTCATATTATGCTACAGCGCCCACAAAACACGAGAAACGTTCGAGTCCCCCAGTAGAGATGTCCGTTCTCTATCCACTCGAGGATGTGTCAGTCATCCGTTTTCTTTTTGTGTACTCGCTCAGGGACTCAAGTATTTCTGTTTATAACACAGGATGATAAGGGAATTTGAAATTATGAGTGAGTGAATTTATTATACAGTGATCAATTAACATAGTATTGATATGTTTAAGTAGTAGTATTCAATCACTCTAAACCACGAATTCCATTCATACAGAGAGAGAGAGAGAGAGAGGCCAAGCGCTCTGTTTACATCACACACCCATAAATATTACATAAATTATTTCTGCAATTCTTCACAAACAAAACACATAAATCAATTGAATATGCGATGTCGAACGTGAACTGTAAACACCATGTGTGATGTAAAGAGAGCGCGGGTCTAAAACGCTACGTAATTTGTTTTTGTCTTTCGGTTAAAATTTTACATTTTACATATACTGTACAGGTATACTGTATACATAAGTATTACACAAATTATTTGTGCAATTCTTCACAAACAAAACACACAAATCAATTGAATATGCGATGTCGAACGTGAACTGCATAAACCCGCTCCAAGCAACAGCACTGTACTGTACAGTACACTTTAAGCGCTACGTATTTAGTTTTTCTTTTATTTAAATTTTGACAATTTACATATATATATATATAAGTAAATTGTAATTTACATATTATTCATATTTTGCTACAGCGCCCACAAAACATAAGAAACGTTTGAGTCCCCCAGTAGAGATGTCCGATCTCTATCCACTCGAGGATGTGTCAGTCGTCCGTTTTCTTTTTGTGTACTCGCTCAGGGACTCGAGTATTTCTGTATATAACGTAGGATGATAAGGGAATTTGAATTTATTTGTTTATTTATTTATTTATAATATACTGTAATATATTAAATATGCTGCAAGTATTTTCTTTAATTTATATACTTTTTTCTCGAAAAAGGGAGGCTACCATTATACCCGGTAATGTACATTTATGGCGATCGTTAAGGACCAAACTCCGAATCCGTGACGTGACTTCCGTTCATCATTTATGTCCTAAATTTACCAATGTAGGTAGTTTCAAGAATTAACGCAGTCATTTACCGAATATTCTTTGCAACAAAATAAATTTCAAATGAATTATTTATAGGAGATAAGTAGTATGATCAGTAAATATACCGATATGCATTACCGACCACCTCCGAACACAAGGACGGCTAAAAATAGGCACAGACGGTCACAGTCGAGGTCACTTTCCCTTTCTTGTCACTGTAGGACCTTGTGAGTGGTTTACTGTATACATAAATATTACATAAATTATTTCTGCAATTCTTCACAAACAAAACACATAAATCAATTGAATATGGGATGTCGAACGTGAACTGTAAACACCGTGTGATGTAAAGAGAGCGCGGGTCTAAAACGCTATGTAATTTGATTGTCTCTTTTATTTAAAATTTTACAATTTACTTATAATATATAGGTATACTGTATACATAAATATTACATACATTATTTCTGCAATTGTTCACAAACAAAACACAGAACTCAATTGAACATGCGATGTCGAACGTGAACCGAAGACATAACAACCGTTCGAGTGGAATCGCGTCGGAGCAAACGAGTTCGGGTTTTACAAATATCGTTCCTCAATTCATAAATCGCGTCAGAGCAAATTCGCGTCGTCAAAACACGCGTTATAGCAGAACTCACCGTATAGTTTTTGGTTCACCGCCAACACGTTTATCCTCGTACCGGATGTCCGTCGTCGCGTATTTTTACGCGACATCTGCGGAAGTTACGTTCGCTAGACGTTCATAGACGTAAATGGTACGACCTCGAGAGCACGACGTACATTCGGTCGTAAAGTACACCGGTCCGGATCGAGTGGACTTTTCCAATCGTCTTATAGATTTCTCGAGTTCTTGGGAATGGTACGAATATGTACAATTAATATTATGTTATGTATAGGTATATTGTATGTTTTTTGATAATCGTTAAGTATGGGAGGTGGCGACGAGCACACCGTACCGACGGGTGGAGGAGGGTCGAGTTTGATTTTGTATTAGGCGACGGGGTCGCGGGTATTTACGGAGATACGGCAGAGCGCGACGTCGGCGCCCGCGTACGGCACGAGCGGGAGGAGTAATTTGTGCGGGACGTAATTGTGGGGTAGTCGAGTATTGCAGTGGGTATGCCTGTGTGTTTTAGTTGGCAATAGTGTGTAGATATGTTTGTGTGGGGTGAGTGTGTATAGGTATACTGTAGAAAGAATGAACTTAGATGAAGTTTGTTTGGGAATTAGTATAATTTGTAATAGTAGATAATTGTTGATATATTTTGACAGTAATTTGTCCGTTTCAGTTGCGGAGGAGCGCGCCGATACGAGTCGGAGACGGCTCGTACAGTCGGCGCACGAGAGCGGTCCAGACGAAGACATTCGGGAACCGAGGACGAAGACGCTCGTCAACTGCGGACGAAGACACCGGTCGACGCGCGAGGAAGATGCTCCGGAACACGGGAAGAACGCCACACTCCCGAGTGCGGAAAGACACTCGTCGACGCAGAAGGAGACACGCATCAATGTCGTATTGCGACGTGCCGGGCCAGCGTGATTGTTTTAAAGACGATTTAATGTGTAAAATGAATGTACGTGTTGTTTGTAACGATTGTTATAATGTTTGTAGTATTGTTTTTAGAGACCGACTCTGCGAAGACGGAGGAAGTCGATACATGTCGAGAATGAATTTATTGAAGATGTTGCCTGTGATCACTAGGTGTTTGCACTAATTTGGGGAGAAGATTACGATCGTAGAACGTCACGGAATGCGGCGCGCACGTCATTTGTGGCGGGACGCATCCGTAAATAACGGCAGCATAAATACGAGAGAACTTGGCGGCGGCGGGGAAGTGCGCCTTTTGAAAGTAAAAGAACGGGGGAGATCGGACCGACATAGATGGTGTTGTTGTGGTAACCGATAAGAATGGAGAAATGATGACTATTTGGTGGGTTTTTTAGGACAGAGAGAGTAGTTATATATTAGTGAAGATATAAAGTAAAAGGTGATAAGGATGGTGGTGGGGGGGACAAGGAATGATATATTTTGTAGGGTATTAAAGGAATTGACTCGTTAGTGCCGAGTCGGCATAATTGTGAGAAACGGATGCGACGGGGATTTTAAAGAAGTCGCGCGGTAGAGGAATTGCGGGGAAATCGGCGGAAGCGACGATCGCAATAACCTTTCGATGCGGGACGGACGACGACGAATTAAGTAAATGGCGGTTTAGGAAAGGGTCGTACGTAAAGCGGCGGGTGCGGGCGCGTGCGGATACGGACGACGGTCGATCGGGGTCCGTTTACGGGACGGGAAAGAGGACCGACGGAGAACGGACAGGAATTCGGACGGAGACGAGGCGGTGCACAAACGAAAGTCTCCGAGGTACCGCGGGGAAGTACGGCAGTAGTTACGGAAGTATACCCGCGAGATGTGTAAAGAATGATTTGGAAGTAGAGTTAGCTAAGAGTCGTGTGTTTGAAATGGCGGGAAGGTTCGATAGGTGTATTAGTTTTACGTAATTGTGGCAGTGCGTTTGAGAGTGGGCGGTCGTGGAATGCGCGCGGGTACCTATTTTGAGACCGCGACATCTACCGGTAAGGAAATACGTGATGCAGCAGTAATATATTTTTGGTTAATAGTAGTTTCATATATTTGGCATGAATTTATACTCGTTCACCTGTACTCCGTGTTACTCCACTCGTGTTAAGGTGTTTATTGTGAAGGCGTTTGTATAATAATAAAATTTGTTGGACGAGTAGGGGAAGGAATACGAGCACAATGTTTAATTTGTAAGCCCTCCCTTTTTTGTCTTTTCCCTCTGCCTCCCCGTCCTCCTCCTCCTTTTTTGACGTGTTCCTCGTTTCTGTGTTTGTCGTGCCGTTTCTTCTCCCTCCGTTTCATTGCAACTCCCTTCGTCTTTCTCCCCCCTACCTGCTTCTGTCCGTCCTCTTCTTCTTCCTGTTTCCTTCTTTTACTCCTCCTCTTCGTCTTATGTGTTCCTCGTTTCCTTGTTTATTCTTTTGCTTGTTCTCCCTCTGTTCCTCCTTCTCCTCCTCTGTTTGATTGTGATTCCCTTCTTGTTTCTTATCCTCCCATTGCTCTTGATCCTGTTGTTACTCCCGTTTGTTTGTTGCTTTCTTTCCCTTTGTTGGTCGTTTTTGTGTCCCTGTATACGTTTGTTGTTAGTGATTGAATTTGTGGTTGTATTACTGCTGCTGTGTGTATGTTGGGTTGTATTTATTTGTGTTGTTATATATATGTTGTGAGTGTGAATTAGTTATATTGTGTTGATATTTGACTTAATTTTGTTGTTAAGAAGAAGAGGAGGAGTTCTATTTAGATTTGGAAAGTAACTGTCATCGAGGACGAGAATGCACGTACCGTCTGTAGTTTGAATACGCGGTCGCGTCGGGTTTGGGCAGGTATATATCGGAAAATAGTTGAAGAGTGTAAGTTAATGTTGTGGACTTGTGAAATTGATGAGGATGAAATTGTTTATTGTGGAATAGTTATTGGTTTTAATTTGAAGGGTGTCAATTGCGCACCGGGAATATTTTGTCGGGAGTTTTGCGTCGTCGGAATCGACAGGAACGGCCGCAATAAATCGCGGGAGTCGCGGAGTTATTTTTGGTCGTTATAGATCCGTTCGCGGAGTCGTAAAAAATGTGGCGTCGTCGACGAAAGTGAATCGTCCGCTGATCGGTCGTCTTCGAATCGACGGAAGTTAAGCGCGGACTCGCAATACAGTTTGAAATGCAATTCGTCGCGTCCGTTTTATTGCAGTCGAGTTACGTGAAGACTTTGAATATTTGTAGACTTGTATATGTTTGTTTGTAATTGATTGAAGTTATTTGTAGTTTGAAAAATGTTTTGACTTGTTGTTGTTGTTGTTTGATTATATTATAGTCATTTGTGCAGTTTGAATGTATTTTGGTTTGTGGATTTGGAAAATGTGTTGCATGTATGTGGACTTTGAATAAGTGAGATATTTTGTATATTGTTCATGTTTGTGGAGCGAAATGTCGTACAGGTCGTACCTCTCTAGTCGGGCAACCTCGGGACCGGACCGGTGCCGGACCATGGAAATTCACCCTTTTCCTGGATAGATGGTGACTTGTGTTTATGCTTGGAAGCACTAGCACCACTTTCTCTGCATCACGGCCTCTTTGAAGACATATTGAAGGGTTAAATGTCGTATAGTAGCTTGTCAAATTTCGAGAGTTTTTAATTCTTAACGTATTTTATTGGAACACACCAAAAAAAAAATAAATTAAAATTTTGACGGCGGAAACTGGAATTTCGACGGGTTCGAACGGCCCGCCAACGTGCAGACGACGGGCACAATCGCGTAAAGAGCGTCATTTCTCTCGTGTAGAAAAGATTCATTATTGTTTATTAGTGAATGTCTTTTTTATTGAATTACTGTTTATGTGTGCAAAATGAGCAATACAATTCATTAATAATACGTAGAATATTAAAACACACGGCATTGTTTTCGTCGATTACAAAACCAGTGAGTGACTGGTTCTACATATAAAAGAGAAGAAAATAAGACCTTGGCTGTAGCTGTAGTAAAATTACTATGGTTGTTTTAAGTAATGTTATTTAATGTTAATAAATGGAACAATAGAAGTAGCTAACGATAACGGTAAAGAAAAAAAGAGATCGCGCGTGTAAGTGGGCATGCGAACACGTGAAAAGATATCGTAATTACTTTATGTAAGAATATGAAAGCAATACTTATTTACTGTTCATATATATTTTAATTGATGTTTGTGAATTTGTTTTTATTGTATTAATGTTTGTGCGTGCAAAATTAACAATACAATTTATTAATAATACGTGGAATATCAGAGGAGACGAGTCGGCTGCTGGCATCGTTTACGTTAAAGCTCACAAAATCAGTGACTGATTGTTTGTACATATAAAACTGAAGAAAGTAAGACAGTGATGTTAGCTGCAGTAAAATTAATGTAAAAAAATTAATATGCTCGTTTGAAGTACGTGTAATGTTATTTAATGTTAATAAATGGAATAATATAAGTAGTTAACCATTAATGGTAAAAAAAAAAGTGAGACTGCGCATACGTAAGTGCGCACATGTGAAAAGATATTGTCATTACTCTACATAAGAATATGAAAGCAACACTTATTTATTGCTGATATATATTGAAGGGTTAAATGTTGTATTCTATAGACAAAGAGAGAGAGAGCTGGTGAAGTGCTGGATGTAAACAAACTTTAATTTCTTGGGTGTTTTTTTTTTTTTAAGGGTATTAGCCCACCCGGGCATAAGTCACTGACCCACGTTGGGGTGTGAGGGGCAAAAATGTAATACTCCTGTTATAATAATGATAATTCCCAAGAAAAAAAAAACCTGCCTGTCTACCTGTTGGAGAAAGTAAAATTGTTCTGGAACACGGGAGTTTGCGGAGTACAGAATGCCGGACTAGAGAGGTACAACCTGTAGTTGTTTGTGGACTTGAAATTGTTAACCTTTGTGGACTTTGAATACTGTAATGTATAATGTTTGTGGACTTTGAATAATTTTGTATCTTGTGTGGAATTGGAATATTTGTTATCCTTTGAAAATGTCTCATTGTTTGTGTATTTTGAATAATTGTCAATTTCTGTGGAGTTTGAATAATTAATGATGTTTGTGGAGTTTGAATATTTTGTATCTTTTGTGGACTTTGAATAATTTATTGTTTGTGTACTTGGAATAATGATCAATTTGTGTGGACTTTGAATAATGAATGATGTTTGTGGATTTTGAATAATGTATTGTTTGTGTACTTGGAATAATGTTCAATTTATGTGGACTTTGAATAATTAATGATGTTTGTGGATATTTGAATATTTTGTTTTGTTGTGTGGACTTTGCATATTTTGTATCCTTTGTGGACAATGTATTGTTTGTGTACTTTGAATAATGTTCAATGTATGTGGACTTTGAATAATGTATAATGATTGTGGAGTTTGAATATGTTTTATCCTTTGTGGACTGAGTATTAATTTATCCTGTGTGGACTTTGAATAATGTATAATGTATGTGGACTTGTTATTATTTTATCGTTTGTGGACTTTGAATAATTTTCAATGTAGACTCAGTATTTTTGTCATGTTGTTTGGACTTAGAATAATGTGTTTCCTATGTGGACTTGTAATAATTTTCAATGTATGTGCACTTGGAATAATTTATGATGTTTGTGGACTTAGTATTATTTTAGCCTTTGTGTATTTTGAATGTATGTATACTTGGTATGTTTGTGGAATTGTTATTATTTTATTGTTTGTGGACTTTGAATATTTTGTATCCTTTGTGGATATAGAAAATGTTTTATCGTCTGTGGCTCGGTATTAATTTATTACGTCCGTGGACTCGGAATAATTTTGTATCGCGTGTGGACTTGTAAAATTTTTCATTGTTTGTGGACTTAGATAAATGTTCCTATGTTGTGGACTTAGTATTTTTTCATTGTTTGTGGAGTTAGTATTATTTTATGTGTGGACTTGTAATAACTTTTAATGTATGTGGACTTTGAATAATTTTCATCTTTTGTGGAATTATTATATTTTTCATGTTTGTGGACTTTGTATTATTTTATCCTTTGTGGACTTTAGAAATTTTGTCAGTTTGTGGATTTAGAAACATTTTCGTATGTTGTGGAGTTATTATTATTTTATCCTGTGGACTTGTAATAATTTTCAATGTATTTGGACTTGGTATATTTGTCATCCTTTGTGGACTTTGAAATATTGTCTTTGTTTGTGGACTTTGAAATATTGTCTGTTTGTGGACTTA